TGGCTCGGCCTCTCTGCAGTCAGCTCATCACTGCACGGTCGGTAGTGCAGCGCATCAATCCTCCCACTGCTCCACTATGACCCCATCGCCTTCCTGGCTCTTCAGCTGACGGTACAGCTCCTCTGTGGACAGAGCAGAGACACGTCTGAGGTGGACACGTCACACACAGACAGACACACACAGACAGCGGTACAGCCATGTCCACACACCGCCGGCCAGTGACGTCACACACAGGACAGACAGCTGACGTGACGTCACCGTCGGCCGTGGTGGCCGTGACGCGTCACGTCACCGTCCGTGACGTGGCCTGCGGCGGTGGTCGAGTGTGTGTGTCTGAGAGGCCGGTGGCGCCGTGCAGCGTCTGTTGTGAGGGACTGACTGGTCAGAGGCGCGGCGCGCGGCGCCCTCTCACCTACCGGGGACATGGAGATAGATGGCACGGGGCAGGCCATCACTGTCCCGGCCCAGGTCCGCCTCCTTCAGGGCGGTCAGCACGGCCCGGCCGGTGTCTTCCGTGCAGTGAAGGTACAGCCACCACAGCTCCCGACACGACTCCACCAGTCTGTAACAGAGCAGAGCAGCAGAGCCGTCACACACAAACACAGCGGCACCAGCCGGCCGGACGTACGAGTCAGTGTCAGTGTGTCAGTACTCAGTAGTTCAGTGTCGGTGTGTTGGTGTCAGTGTCAATGTGTCAGTGTCAGTGTGTCAGTGTCAGTGTGTCAGTGTCAGTGTGTCAGTGTCAGTGTGTCAGTGTGCCAGTGTCAGTGTGTCAGTGCCAGTGTGTCAGTGTCAGTGTGTCAGTGTGTCAGTGTCAGTGTGTCAGTGACGGTGTGTCAGTGACGGTGTGTCATTGTCAGTGTCAGTGTCATTGTCAGTGTGGCAGTGTCAGTGTCAGTGTGTCAGTGTCAGTGTCAGTGTGTCAGTGTCAGTATGTCAGTGTCAGTATGTCAGTGTCAGTGTGTCAGTGTCAGTGTGTCAGTGTGTCAGTGTCAGTGTGTCAGTGTGTCAGTGTCAGTGTATCAGTGTCAGTGTGTCAGTGTGTCAGTGTCAGTGTGTCACTGTCAGTGTCAGTGTCAGTGTGTCAGTGTCGGTTCGTTAGTGTGTCAGTGTCAGTGTCTGACAGGACACCCCCTCGCCAGTGTCTGCTGACTGACCTGGTGACCGCTGCTGCTGTGAAGGCCGTCTCTGCCGGCCGCTGGCGGTCCCCCAGTGTAAGCCACTCCAGCCCGGGCCAGCCGCTGAGACTGTCCAGCACGGCGTCAGGGACGCCGCCGGACAGGGTGAGAACCCGCAGCTCAGGGCACCTGGTGAGGGGCTCCAGGCTCACGGCGTCAGGGACGCCGCCGGACAGGGTGAGACTCTCCAGCTTAGGGCACCTGGTGAGGGGCTCCAGGCTCACGGCGTCAGGGACGCCGCCGGACAGGGTGAGACTCTCCAGCTTAGGGCACCTGGTGAGGGGCTCCAGGCTCACGGTGTCAGGGACGCCGCCGGACAGAGTGAGACTCTCCAGCCCACGGCACCTGGTGATGGGCTCCAGGCTGCCGGTCGTGAGATCAGGACAGTCTGGAAAACACACAGACACACATACAAACAGGATCAGTCGGCAGGAATATATGTAAATATACGGAAAAAACGAAACAGCTATGAATTCGCATGGTTTTATGGACACAGACGATAATATAACAATGGTAATATATGATATGCAGTCAGTTCAACCAATGCATTGAACTGCATTGAACATTGCATTACAATCATTATGTGTACGTTCAACTAAGTCTCAACGAATACCTATGTCACCGATTCCCTTCCCTCACTGATTCACACCATGTTGGAGCTCAATTAGCTTCATTATTTCACAAATCACATTGGCTATGCATCCAGAGGCGGATCCAGCTCAGAGTTTGGGGGGGGGGGCAAACCATAACAATGTATCGATTCTTTCCATGCCTCGTTCATAGGCGTAATGTTAAAATTATGCCGTTTGGGAGGGGCAAATGCCCATTTTGCCCCCCCCCCCTGGATCCGCTACTGTGAATATGAACATAATAGGTAGATGCGATAAGTATATGGCGCGTAATACAGTAGTCTATGAAACTAGTGAAACTACTTATGCTACTCTTATTGGTTGCACTATGTCTATAATCATCCCTCATTGGAACAACTGCTCACTAATTGTAAGAATGCCTGCATTCCCGTGCTGGCCGCCTTCGATCGTGGCGCCACCTATACTCTGTATAACCGCCGCGCCAGGGCCGCGGCCAGTCAGTCCCGTCAGTCTGCTCAGACTCGTCGTCAGCGAGCTCTCTCTATGTAGTCAGTCAGTGTCAGTCGTCGACCCAGACTAATCAATTTTGTTCGGAAATTTGCTGCTTGTGACATTGCAACTATAACTAGTACACTCGAGGGCAGATTGATGTTCCACTACTCCCTACCCATCGGGCGATCCCATGGCTCAGCACTGGCTGCTGTCAGTGTTGCCTGCCCTCAGCACTGCTCAGCACTGCCTGCCAGTGCCAGTGCTGCCAGTGCTGCCACTGGCAGCAGCCAGTGCTGAGCCATGGGAGCCCGATGGGTAGGGAGTGGTGGAACATCAATCTGCCCCCGAGTGTACCTTGACTTTTTAATCACCCCGCGACATTACACTAATATTCCATGCATGCGCCACAAGCATGAACACTATCGAAGGGCATGCATGAGCCCCTTCCCCCTCTCACCACAATACGAGTAATATACACGATTAACGATGAAACCTGCTAGTTGAGGCTGAATGGTTCGTCCATTTGCCGTCTCCGTTGTAAATTTGCATAAGAGGCATTACACGTGTGATCTGCGTTATCTCACCTCTGACATTGAGGCACCAGAGGCCCTCCGGCAGCTGCCCCCTCAGTAGCGGGAGGTCGGCGGCGGTGACTGATAGGTCCTGCAGCCCACGACACCTGGTGAGGGGCTCCAGGCTGCCGGCCGTGTGATCAGTACAATCTGGAAAACACACAGACACACATACAGACAGGATCAGCCGACTGGGGTGATGACTAGCAGACGCCAAGGCTGATGCATGATAAAATGGAAAAATACAATCACCTCGCACTTCGCAGACTTCCATCGGATCTCAATATAATGGCACAATCCTGCTTTTACGACCATCAATGCGTTCAGCTAACGAAATATGTTTTCTCGCGAACGGCAACAGCATTATAATGTGTATGTGGTATGATACTTCATATATCGACACTTTTTTAAACCCTACATTTGTTCTCCGGTGAATTTCAGACAAGTTGGTTAGAGACCTTCAAAAAAGGTACAATCACTCGATTTTTCTCAAGTTTGTCTGTCTTGGCAGATAAAGCAATACCAGAACAGGCCTACGAACACACATATTTGATCAGGATCGGACGATTGGACACTTTTAACCCGCGCCCAGATGGGGTCTGCCGAGCAACGCGGTCTGATGGGGGGGGGGGGGCATTTTGGCCCCCCCCCCCTCAGATCTCGAGAACCACGCAACATAGCGACAAGCGGTAAACGGTGCTGGATAGCCCCAACGGGGAACTACCTTGTGACCCAATTTCATTGACCTCGGTCAAACCGATGACGTCACAGGTCAGGTCAAATGTCCAATTTTCACCGTTTACAGGCATTTCAAGAAATGCGTTGTAAAATCGAGTAAAATGCATTTCATTGAAAATCATCGGTGGAGAAATGTTCTTCAAACACATATTTTGCTATTTGAGGTCACTGATACCAGGTCAGGTCACAGAGGTCAGGTCACTGGGGGGGTCACAATATGAAAGTGTCGTGTGATACATGTTTATGGTCCATTTTACATGACAAATGCGATTATGTGGGTCAGACAGACTTTAGGGCCAGCTTAGGTCACGTTTTGGTCAAGTTCAGGTCAAGGTCAGGTCAAGGTCAGGTCAAATTAGGTCAAATTTCAAAGTTGATATTTTTGCATAAAATGGGTATCGATTCGATGCAGCTCGTCACGGGGAGTTCAATGGTGGTCTCCGTTTTGCGCTACGAGGTCTAGAATTGCTAAAAATTGAGTTCAAAAATTTGACGTCATCAATTTTTAACAGTTTTTTTGCTATAACTTGGCCAAAAAAAGAGGTATCGATCTAAAATTTGGTATGTATATCGAAGAGCGTAGGGACTATCACATATATTCCGGTTTTTTCGAAATTCGAAAAAAATTTGGAAATTTTTTGAGTTTTTCTAAAAAAAATCAATTTTTTTGATTTTTGGGGGTCAAAATCCCAAAATTTCGAAAATCCGAGATAGCAGTTTTGTAGCGCCGTCTTTTCTCTACACAACCACATAAAGAACTTTAAAATTGCTTGTTAACTGTAGAATTGGTGAGCGTTTCAAGATGTCATGTTTTTTGCTCATTTTTGCTCGAACATGACCTCAGTTTGACCTCAATAACTCCTGACCTGAGGTGACCTGTGACTTGAAATTTTGTGTGAAGGTGTCAAATTGATGCCCGGTAAGGTACCCAAAATTTGGCGGCGCTGCGCGCCGCCGTTTTCTCGCTATTTAAGAAAACCACAGGGGGGGGGGGCAAAATGGCCCCCCCCATCAGGGCGCGGGTTAAAAGGAGATCTTTCGTGTCTCCCGGAAATTCACGGGAGAGCAGATGTGGGGTTTAAAAAAAAGTGTCGATATATCGTGGGTTTCATAAATATGTCTGCCTGAATTTATATCAAGTGCACTAACTCCACTATTTCGAAAAAAAAAATCATAATGGGACAGTGTTTTACGTTGTAAGTACCTACCTGTCTCTATACACGTATATCACTATTTACACGTCCAGTCATAACACCACACCGTTACTCGGTGACGGGCGACGGCCACTCACTGAGCCCGTATATCAGCGGCCTGTCCGTGCTGCCGCTGCTCACCGTATATCTCCAGTAGTTTGAACGTCCGTCCCAGGTCAGCCAGGTGACTGATGGTGTCGGCAGCCACCCCCTGGAGCGACACTGACAGATCATCATCCCACAGGTTCCATTCCGGCCACCTCGGCCCCGTCACCTCCGGCCCTGTCGGACAGAGCTGTGTCAGCGGACTGCAGTCGGACAGAGTAGCCCCCAGCTCCCCGCTGCACCACTGACACCAGAGTGTCAGACACTGACACAGCCAGAACTGACACAGCCGAGCGGCTTGAGAGCGATATTTAGCACCACCTATCATATGCAAATATGCGAATATCAACAAAAGTGCGACATTCCCTCAGGCCTCAGCTCAGCACATGCGTTATTAAACAGTAGGTAAAGGTATAAGGGTAACATCAAATTGGCAGTTTAACGAATTACACTACTCGAAGCAGTTGCAAGGTAAAATTAGCCCTCATCTATATGATTGTTAACTATATACCTATTACAAACATATAGACACTAGATATGTCAATCGGATACCAACTTTTTGGTATACCGATACCAAACCGATACCAACTTGGTATTTGGTATTTCAAATTAATGTGTTTGGTAATTTGTTGGTATCATAAGCCCTCACTAATGTATAAGAGGCTAAGAAATCGGTAAAAAGTTGGTATTTCCCTCAGTTTCCCAAGTTGGTTTGGTTTCGGTATTTTCCCGCGGTTTTGGTTGGTATTTGGTTTGGTATCGGTATTCCGATTTTCCGTAATTGACATCACTAATAGACACCACGTATGTATTGGTATAACTTTGGATGCTTATGTAATATGTATAACATGCACGTACTTCATACAACTGTAAGCATTGCAAGTTGCAACCCATCCCCCAATATCATGCACATGCAACGTTGTGTGTTGTTGACCGAATATCGGTTCGTCAATTTGCCGTCTTCGCTGACCATTTGCATATACCGGCATTACATGTGTGATCCGCGGTATGTACCTCACCTCTGACATGGAGGAGTCTGAGGCCCTCCGGCAGCTGCCCCCTCAGTCGCGGGAGGTCGGCGGCGGAGACTGACAGGCGTTTCACAGTCTCCCGTGAGCTCCGCAGCTCCGTCAGCTCGATGAGACCGACTCCGGCCGGAAGGATGATCGTGTTTGGGTCCACCTTGATGATGGCATCCACGGCTAAAAAAGTGACACAGAAGTAAAACGGTTTTATTTTAAACGGATTTATCCACAGACTTTCACAGAATACCATAACATACCTACCTATAGCCAAAAGTGTAATAAAATTGGCATTACCTATCAACTCGCGCCCTCTGCGGGGGCCCTGCGCGCCCTGAATTATATGTGGTCAGCTCGACGATACGGATCGACTGATATGCAACATGGGATTTTCAGGTCAGGTCTTGACCTTGACGTAAGGTCACATTTTCAAGTTGACCTTCCAATGTCAAATATAGTTCATTCGAAGCGTCTTTACGAGAGGAACACGATGCCGGTAAAGGTTAACTCGTGGAAGGTTGAAGTCAAAAATTATGTCAGAATTACTGTTTCTGAAAGAATTGTCTATTTTGACAGTTTTTGCCCCGGCAATACCGTGGACCTTAGGTCAAATCTGAGAGAATAACTCAGAAATAGCGTTAATAGGGTAATCAAATGCGCTTTCCCGAGGCGCTGTAGCTCTATTGCGGTTTCAGACTTATGCGCCGGTATGTTTAACCCGCGCCGTGCTGGTGGCCTGAACTTTCCGCCGAGTGCTGGGGGGGGGGGGGCGTTTTCACGCCCCCCCGTCTAACTCGGCTCCTGGGCCACGTAGCGACACGCGGTAAGCGGCAATCGAAAGAGCGTCAAAAATAAGGACGAAAACACTTCGGTCATTTTTTGGGTCAGGTCAAAGGTCAGGTCACCAGAGGTCACCAAAGGTAAAATGTTGACTATTTCAACATTTTGGAAACTGCCAACGGCTATCTCGGGAACCGATAGAGCTACAGCGCCGCGGAAAAGCGCATTCGATAGCCCTTTTACAGACCTTTCTGAGTAATGTTCTCAGATTTGACCTCAGGTCAACGGTTTAGCCTCTAGAGGGCAAAAACTCCAAAAATAGCCGTTTTTACGAAAAACGTTTTTTCGTCAATAACTTTTGACTCATAAGCGCCATGACATTACTTTTGCCAGCATCGTGTTCCTCTCGTCGAGACGCGTCGAATGAACTATTTGTTGACCTTGAAAGGTCATTTTGAAAATTTGACCTCAGGTCAAGGTCATGACCTGACCGAAAAGGGTCATGTTGCATATCAGTCGATCCGTATCGTCGAGCTGAACACATCTGACGTGTTTTCACCGCTCTAGCACGTCTCTATCAAAAGTTATAGCCAAAAAACTGCTGGCGACCGTTCATGACCTGAGATGACCTCAGGGGCACACAGAGGGGTCACAGGTGCATTTTTCCTATTCAGTGTGTCATGTTTACCTATGAACTGATGTTTGAGAGCGTTTTGAACGATATTCGTCCAAAAGAGGCGCATTTCAATTTTCTCCCATTGACTTATAATGGAGAGGTCGCAAAATTGACCTGACCTTAGGTCACAGATATCAAAAATCCGAGATATACATTTTATACATACTGTTACTCATATCAATCGCTGAAAGTTTCAAAGTGATCGTTCAGTCGGTGTAGCTATAGCGAGCCTTTGAACTTTTTCTGAGGTAAGGTCACTTGACGTGACCTGGTGACCTGACCTTGAACGGCCTAGGTCTGAAATTTTCACAACATGTGCGGAAATGATGTAGGAACACGTGTACCAAAAACGGCGGCGCTGCGCGCCGCCGTTTTTGAGATATTCGCGAAAAACCTGAGGGGGGGGCGTAAAAACGCCCCCCCCCCAGCACGGCGCGGGTTAACCCGGCGGCCGCTGGGCCTCCGCGCCAGCCGCCAACCGCTGTGTGTGTGTGTGTGTGGGGGGGGGGGGATATATGCATGTAGTTGGCCCCTTTACTTCTCCGACGATATCGTCGCAATGCGTAAAGATAGAGAAACGAAACGGCAGTCAAAGTGAGGGGACCGGCCGTACGCGGCAGGGGCAAATCCAGGATTTTCTTTGGCTAGGGGCCAATGTCATTGAGGGGCGCGCCATGTTTTCCACCAAACAGGGACGCCAAAATGTACGATTGGGGCGACTATAGTGAACATGAAGCATTATTACCTCTCATTCTTCCTTTTTTTCTCATTCTCATTCTCATTCTCATTCTCTTTCTCTTTCTCTTTCTCTTTCTCTTTCTCTTTCTCTTTCTCTTTCTCTTTCTCTTTCTCTTTCTCTTTCTCTTTCTCTTTCTCTTTCTCTTTCTCTTTCTCTTTCTCTTTCTCTTTCTCTTTCTCTTTCTCTTTCTCTTTCTCTTTCTCTTTCTCTTTCTCTTTCTCTTTCTCTTTCTCTTTCTCTTTCTCTTTCTCTCTCTCTCTCTCTCTCTCTCTCTCTCTCTCTCTCTCTCTCTCTCTCTCTCTCTCTCTCTCTCTCTCTCTCTCTCTCTCTCTCTCTCTCTCTCTCTCTCTCTCTCTCCTCTCTCTCTCCTCTCTCTCTCTCCTCTCTCTCCGCCTCTCTCTCTCTCTCTCTCTCTCTCTCTCTCTCTCTCTCTCTCTCTCTCTCTCTCTCTCTCTCTGCCTATCGCTAATATTTTTTTCTCGCCTAAATTTGTTTGCTTCGGAGGCCGGTGTTTGGATAACTTTAGCAGTTGTGAAGTCATGGGATCAGTGACGGAGAATGGCTTAACCCTAGAACGCCTACGGGGGGGTTGTATCAACCCCCCCCCCCTGAGGTTTTTTCGAAGTGCACGCTAAACGGCTTGTCGTAGCGGGCTGAAATTTTCCATACCCTCTGGGGCAACCTTTGCGCATCTTTTGCCGAAAAAATTGATCGGGTCATGTCAGGTCACGGAGTTATGACGTCATAAGAGGTACAGCCTCCGGCCGGATTTTCACAAACTGAGTGCCAACGCCCGAGGTTTCCTGCCAGTGGTACGGACATCGGTTGATGGATCGTGATGAAACTTCCCATGCATGTTGGGGCAAGTATTGGCTATCATATGGTCAGAGGTCAAAAAACTTATTTTGTGTCACCTACAAAATTTTTCAACCCCCTTTGTGTCCCCTGCCCCCAGAGGCCGGATAAGTGTTGCACTAGGGTGATAAAATTGGGAAAAAATCTAGGCTTCATCAGGCCAGTGTTAATGTTAGTGTCGCCAATGTTAGTGTGGCCCTAAACCTGGATAGTGTCCCAAAATTTGTTGATTTGGGTGGGAAATACTGAGATTCATTTGCCACTCTCACCACCAATTTCTAAGAGCAATTAACCACTCTCAGCCAAGAACACCTGGTTACCTCAAAAGGCAGTTCAGGTGTGGTGGACTTAAACAGGTGGACAGGTGTGGTGGACTGAGTTGTGTGGATACTTGGAGTTGGTTTATGATCATAATAGATACTCATGGATAAAAATGAAGGCTATTGATCTTTTCTCACTCTTTTTGTATCTATTCTAACCAGCAGTTTCCACCTTCTACCCCTTTTTGGTGGATAATATGCCCCTCTGACACCCCAGCCAAAACTGAACTTTGGGACACTGAATACATGTGTAACTAATCTTGTGCAGATGCATTTAAGAATTGCTTACATTCTATTTTACATTTTTCCATAATACATTTAGATTTGTGTTCTATATGGTGAGATTTCACACCTGTTATGACATAACAAATAATAGGTGCCTACCTATGTAAAATACAATATACCTACCTATGCAACATGTTGCAAAACGTTCCTTTTCCACATCAAGGCCACTAATATTGTTGAACCAAAATTCTAATCATTAGATTTTTGTTAATAGTATACAATAAGTCAAAATAAAATAGGTGTAGGTGGGTTGTATGCCTCGGAGCTTGTCGGTTGGCAGGTTTAAGGTAGGGAAGTTGTAGCTTGTAGGTACAGGTAGGTAGAAGGTAGATAGGCTGTAGGCTGGTAGGTAATAGGTGGTATTGCCACGCCATATGTGGAAGGCTTTTGGTGTCAATACATACATACATACATGCATACATATGGTGGTAGGGTAGAAAGTAAGATTAGGTTAGGTAATGATAATGTTTTTCTTTCATTCAGAGTTCTTAAACACTTTATGCAAGAGTAAAAGAGTAGAAGTCGGAATGAAGGAAAGACAATTCAGCCTGAACCAAACTTACATAACTTCTAACCTACAACCTACCTACAACATACCAACACAAAACAGAAAACCTACCAGCCTACAACCTTCCAGCTTACAACCTACATACCAACCTACGACATTTTTTCGGAGTCCTTGGACTGGTATACCTACTTTTACCAGCTAATGAAAATTGAAATTCCTGCTCTTCTAGGGCTGAAAAGATTAAAATCAAAATGAAATTTGTATCAACATTAACAGTAAAAACATCTATTCATTGACAACTTTGGCAAGTGTTTCAAAATCAGGCAACAAATCCACACAGCCTTGCTTTTGATCCCCACCGGGCTAGCGTTGTTGATCCAACTTACAAGTACCTAAACCAGCAAAATTAGACACCCCAAGATTCCTTACCTCCAGTGTTATTTCCTGCCTTTCATAACCACAATACAACAACTCAGCTTTCATCACGGCGCCCAAACGGCGCCAGTCCCTTTCTTGAAAGCATTCAAACTTGTTTGAAAATTGGACAAGCACGCGCTACTCGCGAGAGTCCACTCCTGTTTTGCTACGTGTTCATGATCACAGCATACCTCTCATAGACGTGCGCCGAAAAGGCCCGCTCAAAATCTTTGATGCGTTGGCTCCTGGGGCCTACAAAATCCACAGTGGAGGCTCCCTGGCGGCTGGGGCGTCAGCTCAGCGTTGTCCCCTCGTGTCACCAGCATCCGATTGGTTCGCTCAGGGTTATTCTCGCCGCGGATTGGCTGGTTAGTCTGTTCGCTAGCAGTGTGCGAAAACGCCGTCAACAAATGCGATGCAGTGTGTTCACCATTTTGGTGACTTTGTCACCAAATGTCTCTGGTGCCCGTCAGCTTCTGTCGCCTACAATGTAAGCGAGTAGGAAGTTTTTTTTACCTCTGCATATGGTATAAGAAATTTGACCGGGTCAGGTCAGGTCACGGAGCTATGACGTCACAAGAGGAACAGCGTCCGGTACTATTTTTGAATAGCGCCCGAACCACTATTTTGCTAATTCTTGTCACCTCAATGGGAATATGCAGCAATATTAGCTTATATAGGGAGCAAATGGACCTCCCAAATCCAAAAATACAATCAGATTTCAAAAATTTAAATTTTGATTTTTCGAATTTCTGCCGCCGACTGTGACCTTGCCGACTTCCGGCGCTCCCAACGCGCCATTTTTAGAGCTAGGGAAACGAAATACATACCAAACGATAGAGAATTGATCAAGGAACACGATAGTGAAGGTTTCAAGTCGATATTTCCCACCGTTTTGCCGCAATCGCCGCCGAAAGTTGAAAAAAGTCTATTTTTCCGAAAATTTGACCTTTGACCGGTCAAAAGTAGGTCAAATGTTGACCTAGGACCAAAAATATACCACCAATCGCGAGATCTCGTTGAGAGCAATCCGTTGTTTTTTCCGCTAAGCTCTACGACCTTCCGTGTCGAAACGCCAGGGGGGGGGGTTCGTAACAACCCCCCCCCCCTGGTCGTTCGTGTTATGAGAAATGGCCTGGTCGTGCGAGGGTCCCTATTACTGGTGGGCTCTCTGGACTACGTTAACTGGTGGAGGGGGGCCGATTCGGCCCCCTTGATATCTCAAAAACCAAATGCCCGATCTTAATGGGACAAACGCTATTCGATTGCTCTCATCGTTAACTTTCAGGTTGACTTTAAAAAGTAAAAACAAAAAAAAACTTCAAAATTGGGGGTCCTGGAAGCAAAAATTTTCGGGGATGAACTTTTTTGGGATGAACTGAGACCATCCGCGCGGCTGTATCTTGTTCCTGTACGGAGTTATCGGCAAAAAACCGCTGGTGACCTTTAATGACGTCACATGACCTTACAGCTGCCCAACAGCAAAACAGACCTCAAGGTAGTGAAGGTTGATCGTATATGAAGTCATGTATGGTATATGGGGCCATTCCGACCCGTATTAGTGGTAAAAACAGGGAGTTGATTTTCCCCCATTGACTTATAATGGGGAGGTCGATAAATTGACCTGACCTTAGGTCATCGATATCAAAATTCCGAGATATACAAATTGTAGCTACTAATGACTTAATATTATCCTGCGACTTTCAAAGGCCTCCGACATATCCTGTAGCTCTGGTACGGTGACAAATGTGCAAAAAAGTGACTTGAGGTTGGGTCATTCAAAGTGACCTGGTGACCTGACCTTAACCCGCGCACCGACGGGGGCGGATATCCGCCCCCCCCCCTGAGGTTTTTCGCAAATAGCGGGAAAACCGCGGCGCATAGCGCCGCGAAATTTGGTACGACTATTTTCTCATCAATTTTACACATGATGTGCAAGTTTGAACTTCCTAACTTTTAAGGTCAGGTCACCAGGTCACTTTGAATGACTCAACCTCAAGTCACTTTTTTGCAACTTTGTCACCGTGCCAGAGCTACAGTAGATGTCGGAGGCCTTTGAAAGTCGCAGGATGTTATTAGGTCATTAGTAGCTACAATTTGTATATCTCGGAATTTTGATATCGGTGACCTAAGGTCAGGCCAATTTCTCGACCTCCCCATTATAAGTCAATAGGGAGAAATCAACTCCCTGTTTTTACTTGTTTAATTGTCGGAACGCCTCTTGGATGTAGGGCATTGTTTCTACTTGAATATTTGTATGTTGGTGACCTTAAGCCCTAGTGTAAAGACAAAGAAACCAGACTGACCTCCAGATGATGTTGAAGACAATGCTGTAGTCGACGATGATGAGGAGAAGACGACGAAGAGAAGTGTGCACAAATTTTCGGCCCTAGGCCATCCTCAGGTGATGAGAGGGGAGGTAGAGGTAAGGAGGGGGAGGAAGACCACCTCCGACGGTCGCCGCGGCGAGGCACCAACTGACGCCCGACGGAGGTTTGAAATGATACCAGTTGGCGCGCGAGGTGACCTGCAGCGCCACCTGTCTCGGTACGCCATCTGTCGGTCACCGCTCGGACTGGCAACTCCTTCAGCCGCCGGTTATAATATCGGCCATGATGTGGTTTGGGTGTTCAGCGATGGTCTGCGGTCTCGAATAAATAGCGATTCTGCGATTTTCCTGTTTGGGCCGTCTTTGCATACCGTCAAGATGTTGATGCGGAAGCAGTTGGTGATGTCTGTTTGTTCGTTCGGGTGGCAGGTAGTCATGTGGTCGCCGAGGGGAGTGTCCGGGTTTCTGTGCCGCGCGTCTCGGAGGTGCTCGTTAAATCTCAGTCGCACGCTTCGTCTTGTCTCTCCGATGTAAATATTCCGCGTCTTTACCTTTTCACTGGTGGGGATTGGTGGGGACCATTGTTGAGCTTCTGAATTTGCATGAGGACACCTGCATGAGACTTTGAAGACTTGAAGACTGCTCTGGTGACCTCTGGACTGGATGGGAGTGAACTGCACGCACTGCACGGCTTTTCTCACCTGGGAGGGAGTACTTGCCAGTCCATGCATGCCGGTCCTGTTCACCTGTGTCTGCAATAACCTTGCCATTTATATTTTATGATGTCCATTGTCTTCCCCTGTTCAATGTTGCATGCCAGCTAGTGGTGATCTGCTTCTGCTGCACATATGCCTGATAAGCTAGACTGAGCACAACACTTCAACCATCTAGTCCACAAATTCTGTTTGTCACAAATCAAGACATACCTACCTGCTACCACTAAAATCCCTGTGATCAGGTCGCCTCCACAGACTCCTCCCCCGCATAAACACAACACCAGAACCAAGTCGAGACAATCTGACACCACTCATCAAGATGCGCCAGAAATACAAGCACACACCTCCAGCCCCAAGATCGAAGGGCAAGTTGCTGCAGCCATCCACGCCCTCCCCATCGATGTCGGGGTAGCAGTATCTCCCACTATCATCATCACACAATGCCAGTCTTCGACTGTCTGCAAGGGAGGTCCAGGCTACCCCATGTGCAACTTGGAAGTGAAAGATGGCCAACAGGGAGTGCAGTGCGACCTGTGCCTAAACTGGTACCATGCCTTCTGTCAAGATATTCCAAAAGGGGGTTACAATGCCCTAAAGAAGTACTCTGATGTGGTGTCTTTTATTTGCAGTGCATGCAAGAAGATTCCCGACCTGGCGAAGCTCACGCCTAAAACAGCTCAGTGTGATGCAGTCACACAAACCAACTCTGAGCAAGTGCGGAGTGAAGTGCGCTCCAACTCAACTATGACTGAAGCATCTCTAACCAACCCAGCATTGGATCAGGGTAACCCGGGCCCAAGGGCCTTGAACGCAGAAGCTCTGAATGCCCTTGCCTCCAAGATCAGCAACATAGAAAAAACTATTCACGAGCATGTGAACTCTCTGTCAGGCTTCCACCAAGCAAGCAACCCAAGCAACGGGAACCCATCTTCTTCAAGAGCAAGTGTGAACACGAAGGAAACCTACGCAAAGGCTCTAACTGGAACCTCCACTCAGAGCACTTCAGAGATGGGCTATGTGCCAAACCAAACGGGCCCTGGAACCCAAGCAAGTGCTGGCCACTCACAAGACTACCGCGTGATGGTCCGTGAAGAGCTTCTCGAGCTAGAAGAGCGCAAGAAAAGGCGGTCCTCCGTCGTGATCCGTGGGTTGAGAGCAGAGTCTCCGAGTGAAGCTGCATCTAGATTCGGAGAAATCACACAGTTTTTGATATCAGAAAAAGTGACACTGTCAGACATCTGCCGGATCAAGAATGATGCGGATTTGTACAGAGGCAACATCCACAGCCCTAGACAAATAAGACTCATTCTGGAACAAGCAAAGGACCTGAAAAACTCTCAATTCTCACACGTTTATATCAAACGGGACCTCACGTACATGCAGCGCATGCAGCTTCAGACAAGATACCAGCAACGCCAAAGAGAGCACACCACCAGTCAGCACCGCAGTACTGAAGTATCCCAGGCCGAGGGGACAGCCAGCGCTCCTGGAAGGAGGTCAGCGGAGAACACAAGCTCACCAGAAGTACAAGCTTCAACACCGCCAGGGAGCGGCCCCCCTCGGTCACTTCCGTCAACCGAGGCTCACGATCCTCCTCAAAGTGAGATCGCGCTCGGGCAGCCCGGTGCACCTCGCCAGCCCTCAGACATAGCCGGCGAACCCGTCACTCAGGCTCCTCTGCAGCGGGTTACCGAGACGTCACCACTTCAGCCTGCCCCACCGCCTGGTCCCGACCGAACGCACCCGGGCAATGGAAGCTCGGGAAACGGAGGGCGCTAGGAAAGGCTGAACATTCGTTTGCTATCACATTTACTCATTGCAACATGAACGGCTTATGTGGCAAACTACTGAGTTTACAAGACAGTGTTCTCCGTCCATGCTCAACAGACATACTGCTTGTCTCAGAGACTCATCTAACAGAAATCATAAGCAACGCATCCATTCATCTCTCTGGCTACACTGTCTTGCGCAATGACAGCGGATCATCTAGTACTCACGGAGTATGCGCGTTCATAGCTGAACACATACATTTCGATCAGGTGGACACATCATTCAAGAATGTTCTTTCATTTCGTCTGACGAAGTTTAACGTCTTTGTATACGTGATCTACAGACCTCCCTCACTCACAGCAGCTGAAAACAACTTACTGATCTCATTTCTCCAAGAGAGCTGCTTGGGGAAGGAATCAATTCTTCTTGGTGACTTCAACCTGCCGTCACTGAACTGGTCATCACCTGAGGGCATGCTAGGGGAGGGAACAGCGTCAGACATCCGCTTTTTGGACCTGTTTGACTCTCTTGGCATGACGCAGTGGATCACCGAGGCTACTTTCCCCCGCTCTGGTAATATACTGGATCTCATCTTCACCACCGAGCAGGACAGAATTGGAGAAGTTTCGGTTCTCCCTCCTCCTCCCGGAAGTGACCACTGCACCATTCTGTCACTATATCTTCGACATCGACTTGCAGGAACGACCCACCTGTCCGGCCCCTCTCCTGGCTTGGCATAGAGGAAAGTATGATAAAATGAACAGTGCCCTCGCCGATGTTGATTGGGAGGTAGAACTTCGGTATTTATCAGCCCAACAGGCATTTGAGCACCTGCTGGGAATAGTGACTTCGTTGATCAAGAGGTATGTTCCCACCAGGAAACAAGGTTCCCAGTCCAAGAAGCTGCCTTGGAAAAGAAACCCCCCAAGCTCACTCAAGCAAAAACGGTCATCGGCATGGGCGGCCTACAAGAAAGCCAGAGAAAACTGCGGCAGGAGAGCAGCAATCACCAAGTCTTTACTTACTTCATTCCAAGAAGTGAACAAGGAGCTACGCAGCTTTGCCTCGCGCTCTCAAATCGACTATGAGAAGTCACTGGTGAGTAAAATGAAAGACAGTCCGAAGCTCCTGCACTCTTACCTGCGCCACAAGAAGCGGTACCGTTCTTCGGCAGGTCCTCTGAAGGCTCCCTCTGGAGCAATCACAGACGACCCGAGCTCGATGGAGGATATCTTCGTGAACGCTTTCGCAAGCGTTTTCTCGTCTGAGGTTCCGCGAAACCCCTTCACTCATCAGCTCTGCGACTCTGTGCTGGCAGAAATCGCTTTCACTCAAGCTGATGTTGAAGCAGTTCTTCGCCATCTGGATCCCAACTCAGCAATGGGCCCAGACGCCTTCCATCCACAACTATTGAATGCGTGTTGTTCGACCTTATCATACCCACTGTACCTCATCTTCTGTCGAACATTGACAACGGGCTCCTTACCGCTGATGTGGAAGCTCTCACACGTGGTACCAATATTCAAGAAAGGCTGTCGCTCGGACCCATTGAATTATCGTCCCGTTAGCCTCCTGCCAGTACCCGCCAAATGTCTTGAACGGCTCATTTTTCAGAGACTGCACTCGTACCTGATGGACAACTCTGTTCTTGATGACGCGCAATTCGGATTCAGGCCCGGACGCTCCACCGAGGATCAACTTCTCCTCACGTACGATTTCATCTGTAAGCAGAGAGACAGTGGGCATGTAATTGATTTAATCCTGTATGACTTTTCTAAGGCTTTCGACATGGTGTGTCATTCGATACTCCTTCAAAAACTGCGCTGCATTGGGATTCGTGGCGAGCTCCTGACTTGGATTCAGGACTTTCTGACCGGCCGCACCATGCAAGTCGTGGTGAAACACTCACTGAGTTCACCAATGGAGGTGAAGAGCGGCGTTCCGCAGGGGTCCATACTCGGACCAGCCCTCTTTCTGATTTTTATCAACCACGTCGCGTCCCGCCTACACGCCGCCTACAAGATATTCGCAGATGACTTGAAAGTCTACATGTGCATCTCTGACTCAGGGTCCCATGCAACCAAGTTCCAGGAAGATATAGATCTCCTTCAAGAGACCGCAGCATCCTGGGGTCTGAGCCTAAATCAAAAGAAGTGTGCGGTCATGAGATTCCAGCGCAGGTTCCACACGTTAACGAGACCAGAGTATCACCTCGATGGATCAGTAGTTCGATGGGCTCGTTCCCATTTGGATCTTGGTGTCACGATCGATGACGATCTAAAGTTTCACGAGCATGCAAGAGTCGCTGCTAGGAAGGCTGGAGGCATAGCTCACAACTTCTTGAAATCGACACTGTGCAGGGAGCGCGACTTCATGACGCACGTCTTTGTGACACATATTCGCCCCATCATTGAGTATGCCTCGACAGTCTGGAACACAGGCTACATTGAAGACGTCCGACGGCTTGAAGCGGTGCAGAGGCTCTGGACACGTCACATCAAAGGCCTAGAACACAAAACATATGAGGAGCGTCTCAAGGTACTGGATTTATACTCGATCAAAGGCAGACTTCTCCGTGCAGACCTTATCAAGACCTGGAAAATCTTCCACGGCCTGTCTCCTATCAAGCCGTTGGACCTATGGGACATGGCTCCAGCCGGTC